AGTTTAAGTGGTACCGAACTGCATTAAGTCTACAGTGTAGACGTACCGTTTCATCTATGAAATGTTGGAGGGCATGTGATATCTAACCTATTCTTCTTGGACAGTGCTCACTGTAGCTTTTCTCCAGATACAGTAAAATGGACAGAATTCTTCTCTTTCATAATGTGTTCATTATAAGAATCATTAACATGTCATTCTCCTGTTGATGCTGGTCATCATGATCATCCATCCCAAATAGCCACTGTGAAGAATTATGGTTTGTTTTCTTCTCAAGTAGAACCACCCAGTCTCAATTAACCAAGATGGATGGATAGCTAGCTCACAGGTGGTCATATGCTTGTTTTACCATGTCACAAACATGAGAACGCCATACAAGTCCTGCATGTATGAATTAATTCTTTTCAATATCCTGACCGCTTCAACATTGCAATATCTTTTTATTTTAAGACACACAATTTCCCCTTGTAAACATCTCTACAAATGGGGTACATCTTTATATACGTATATTTGTTTGTATATTTGTTTGAATATATAAATAAAACTTTTTCTCTATCGGTGGTTCTGAAATTGGTGTGCATCTTAATATCGATGCCATCTTAAAATCAAAACAGAGGGGTTTTGCTGGCAACATGGCCTCATATAGCCTTGGTATGGTGGGCAGGGTCGTCGCAAAACTTTTCTGCCTAGTGATTCTAGAAGATTTTAAACAGTGCTCTGCACATGCAAGAAAACATCCAATTGTGTAATTCACAGAGGCCACAAAAAGATTATCTATCTATCTATCTATCTTCAGCAGGAGAAAGTATCTGTTCTGACTTACATCCAAATTCATCTTATGAACAAACCTTATTCATAACTTGGAGACTGCCTTTATTGAGGCATGGCTGTCAAACTGCATTAGTTCTACAATGTAGATGCAGCCTGACTTGGTCATGGTGTGCCTAAGGAACCAGTTGTTTTCCCGAAGAGGGGATGAAGTTTAAGCTGAAAACAAAACTACATTCAGAGTCTTGAGGCTCGCTTTCATTCCCTCTTCTTAGTTATCCCAAACACTTTCGAGGTTTATTTTTCCATCAGCATTGAAGGCAGGAGATCGTTGCAACATGTTTAACAGACCAAGTCACCTTGCTGGGTGGGAAGTGCCACATGTCCTAGCTGGCATTTTTTTATTGCTATCTTTGTCTTAGATTCATTCAAGATGCATTAAAGGGTGCCAAGACAGTCCCATTCTGTTGCATCAGGAAGCAAGGAGGGCTGCCTTTCTTCATGCCAATTATTTAAAGTGGAGGTGTTAAAATTAGGAAAGAGGCTTCAGATCATCGCACTTACAATCCAGCACCCGAGTTTGACAGAACTTTAAGAGTGAGAGGTATGACTGTTTAAAAACTCTCTATTGCACTTTAAGCCATGCAGAGCAACTGCTTGGCTTGTTCCTCTCTCTGTGCAAATTTCAGCAATTGAATGGAGATGAGAAAGCAAATAAGGGGGAATGAATTTAGGATGGGAGGAGACAATAAAAGAGGCTCTAAAAGGAGAAAAAGATAATAAGGGAGAAAAAGTCCACTATAGAGGGCCATGATCTTCTTATTAAATTACATGACTCTCCTTATTAAAATCTGCCAAATAAAGACTTTGTAGTATTTCTGATATGTGCTGCAAAAATGGAGCAAGTTAAACTATGGATAAAAACAATAGAATTTCTCAATACATGATTGGTGACATAGAATACGGGCCATAGTTTTGTCTGAAAAATTAGAGAAAGGGGAAATGAAAAAGAATGTATTCAAGGTTATATGGGATGCATCCACATTGTGGAAATGATGCAGTTTAACACCACTTTCACTGCCATGGAGCCTGGGGGATTTGTAGTTTGGGGAGATACCAGCATTCAATAGCAAAGAAGGATAAACTCCTTGTGAAACTACAATTCCCAGGATTCCATGGCATTGAGGCACAGCAGTGAAAGTGGTGTCAAACTGCATTAATTCTGTAGCATACTGAAGATATTCCCATGGAATCTATTTATCACTTATATAAGCCAAATTTGAATTATCCTCAGATCAAGTGAGATTTTGGATAAATGATTAGAGAGGCAAGTACTTACTTACTTACTT